TCATGCACACCTGAGAAACCGATCAATTTTCGTGACGACTATTTAATAACCATAAATCTTAACGACCACTCTAAATTTACAAGACTAAAACAACAGTATACTCTCCAAATTTTGGAAAGGAAGCCCGAGCACCTCGAAATTGAACCAGTGTTTGTCATAGTACTAAGTCGAGGGAAGAACACCAAGTAATCAAAGCACCCAAGACTACGACACTTTCAATAGAGCTGCTAACGTCCAGGATATTCTTCTGGCCAGTCTCTTGCTGGAAACTAAGAGAGGTGTGAATACACATCCACACAAACCACATTCGGAGAGCAATCTCATCAGTGACATCTTGAAGGAATCTTGGGAGACATTCTCTCATGGAAGGAACGTTGTTCTGGAAGGTATACAAGGACACATACCCCGACTTGTCAGTCTATGATATTCAGGAATAGAAGTTCATAAAGCCGCCCTTGGACCTCAGGAACATATGGACCCAACAAATAGTACGATTGGCCAAGAAGTAAAGGATTCTACACCCTGACTAATAAAGTCAACCTCCACGTTTTCCTTAATTGCGGCCACCACTCTTGAGACTTTTCATGCCAACAGATATCGGTTAACAGCTGGAATCCATTTGCACTTAAACAGAATACATGGTTCAAAGATCAATCACAAAAATAAGCTGAAACTGACTGTTCCACCTGTGGGCTGTCATTAGCAGAAAAAATAAGTTGAGCCTGCAGTAAATACGTATGTTGAAAACCCTGCGTGGGTAGGTTTCCTGTTTATCTGATTGGGGTTCATTCAACCAAACAGAACAGGGACATACATGCGTTTCATATACTCATTTGATAGGGATATCTCAAGCATGAAGATATCAAAACACGAGCAAAAAGCTAGCAATACATGGTATGTATTGTTTCGTAACAACAGAAACGCTGGATTGATAGGTGGGGCAGTCCTATACCTACGATCCTGTCTGGAAGCACATAAAATAAATGCTTAAGAATTTATCAATCTTGACAAACTTGTATGGTGCTCAATGAGGTTGTCTAATATCTCAGAATATCTAGTTGAAGATATCTACAATAAGCCTATTGCTGCTACCGAGGTCGATAGTTGTATACTGCAGTGATAAACTCTGTCTGTTCGTCTCGAAAACTCTCATGCCTTCATCCTAAAAGATTTCAATCATCCAAAAGTCAATTTCTCTGGAAACACTAAAATAGAAATGATGGTTCTACTGAAGCTCGGTACCTTTACTTTATTCAAGAACTAGGACTATTAGATGAAGAACTACTAATCGATAATTTTCAGATCTGAGCCCATTGAGAAAAAGCGATCATGACCTTCAGTTTTGTTGATAAAACTAAGCTAGAACAGTAGCGAGATTTGGAATTTGAAGAAGCCATTTATGTCAACTTCAAGGTTTGATATACAGCAGGTGGATTTGGCATGGATTTCATAATGTACACTATCTTACTTGACACAAACCAGTCAGTCCCATATGCAATCCCTCAAAAGTTACACAGAACTCGCAGTCATAAGGAGATACGCTCTTCAAACGGTGGGACTTGAAAGGTCTCACTAGTCGGATTGCAAGCGAACTAATGACAACAAATATTGGTAGTTTATACAAGCAATAAATAAATGCGCAAAGGCGATAAGAGAAGACAGGCTTCAATATTAGATAGATAGATAGATAGATAGATAGATAGATAGATAGATAGATAGATAGATAGATAGATAGATAGATAGATAGATAGATAGATAGATAGATAGATAGATAGATAGATAGATAGATAGATAGATAGATAGCATCGATAGATTTGTCTCCAAACCAGAAAGCTTATTTGTCATGGAGCCTTGCATCGACAAAGCTGGAGTTTCCCAATTGTTAGGTCCCAATGGTCCAACGGACAACAGTGGTGATGCCGATCAGCTACTGGCAAGATATTGGTTTCAAACATTCCAATCGTCACATACAATGTATGTCGACGAAAGTGTCATCTGAAACCTAAGAGGGGCCTCAGAAGTTAGCCCAAGCACTGGATTGATATGTCGGAGACCACGGCATCTAAACGAAGATGTTTCTCACATCTCGGATATTTTTCATCCTGCCAGACTGAGAGAAGCAGCTTCAATCTTGGCAAAACGGATTAGTGTAATGTTTTCACATTCACCGAGCTGATCTACAGTGACAGAAAATTAGAAGCTGGTTCACATTGCACTAATTTTTTAAACGGGTTGACTCAGCTAACTTCCAGGCCACCGGCCAATAAAACTTTTCTGAATACCCTCAGAAATCATGAAGTCATTGGAATGCAACGGTCTGCATGACCACTAACTATCTATAAGCCTCTGTTCACTCCAGTAGAACGGTTTCAAGGGTGGTTTCTTTTGTATAATCAACCCGATGACCACAGTCGGCAGATGAACAACCACCATTGATAGCAAGGAGAGGGTTGAGATCCTATTTCTTTACTTCTGCGAAGCTATTGATAGATCAATCATATACGTTTAATCAATAAGCTCAAACGATTGTGCATCAAGTCACCATTTACTGATTAGCTCACTTCGCATTTAAATAATCGACCTATTGAGCTCAGTGAAAACTTCACTTTTTCTCAGACTACAGGATGTCCAAGTGAGGTCCCTCAGAGCCCAGTCCCAGGACCTCTTCTTTTCTTAATTTCAATAAACGAGATTTTTCACAAAGTATTATCTGATTTATCTGTTTTCGCTGGTGATGTGAAACTCTGGAGAGATGTTTGCAACTAGTATAATCATTTATCGACTCGGGAGATGTGGCTCGACTTTAACATTGAGCGGACAACAACGGACTTACTTCCGACACTTCAAAGTGTGAAGTAGTTCATCTGAGATATGTTACGGACTACACTTACAACTTTCTTCATGGGACTTCCTAAGTTAAAAAGGACCTAAAAGTGTTGGTGCCCTGTGATCTATAATCTTAAGCTAACAGAGAGAAAAATGCCTTCCGAGAAAACCGTGCACTTGTAACGCTGAAAATCATTTTTTTTTCCAAGTCCAAAAGTAGTTTTTTTCATATTATGGGAATGTTGTGTTTTCCTTTTACTCGAAAAGGATAAGAATATATTGAAACGCATCCAACCGCGAGCTATGAAACCAATTTATGAAATCAAACTTCATCAAGACATTCTGACGTCAGTGGATCCTAACACATTAGAGTGTAAGCGTCACTGACGTGAACTTTTAATTTCCTAAAGCATTCTAGACATTACTGAGCATCACCTAAAATATTTACATAAGCTCAGTCCCGAGGCAAATGATAGTTGCAGTGCCCAGAAACCAGAGAAAGATAATAGAAAACTTCCTACTGGTGGAGGTGGTTGAAGTAAATTTTTGAGAGTCCTTCTAAATGAACACAGAATACCCCTAGAGACTCAGGATAGTATTTCATCACTCATTTTTCGCTTTGTTCCTCCAACTGTGGTTAGGTTCGTACCTGAAAGCATCAGTTATAAATTAGTACCAGGTACGAAAGCCTGCAAAGCCAAAGCTTACATCCCATCTTAGATGCCAACCTTCAAATGAGGTCGACGCAGCGAACCTTCAGTTTACTGGCGCGTGGCTCTTCTCTGTATACCTTCAATAATTATGAAGTCCCTGATATGCATGGCATATACTACCATTTATTGTCCTTAAACTTCTTTTCACCTCAACAGCATAGTTTCAGGAATGGTCATTTTTATATAACGAAACTGCTGACTGCGGTGAACACATGGGCAACCATCCTTGACGGCAAAGGGAAGGTTGACGTCATCTACCTTGATTTCTCAAAAGCGTTGATAGGGACAACCATATATGTCTTATCAATGAGCTCAAATGATTGGGTATCAAATCATCTTGAATTAATTGGCTCACTTCATACCTAAAAAGTCGACATTTTAAGGCCAGGGTTAACTTCACTTTCTCTCGGGCTATGGACTGTCCTAGTGTGGTCCCCTGCGTTCAGTAGTAGGACCTCTCCTTCCCTTGGTTTATATAAACGATCTTCCACAGCAGGTGTCTTCTGACTTATTCCTTTTTGCTGATAGTGCGAAACTTTGGAAAAAGATACGAAACCAAGAGGATATATTGACACTTGTAGAGGATCTGAGTTGACTTCAGAGTTGGACAGATGACAATGGACTTAGCTTTAACACTTCAAAGTGTGAAGTTGTCTATCTGAGACATGTTGCAGACTACATTTGCAACTTAGGCAACTCCTCTCTGGAAGTATCTCAAGTTGAAAAAGACTTAGGTGTGCTGGCACCCTACGATTTGAAGTCTTACGCTGACTGTGACAAAAATGCCTTTCCAGCAAACCTTTCACTAATAACACTGAAGAGCATTTTGGCCAGTTTGACGGTAGAACGTTACACAGTTTGATTCGTCCCCACTTAGAATATGGAAATATAGTATTTTCTCCCTCACTGCAAAAGAGTAAGGACACTCTGGAGCCTATTCAAGGGAGAGCCAGGAAATCAGTTTGAGGACTCAAATTCAAGCCTTATGAAGAGCACTTCCAATCACTAAACCTTTAGTCATTGGGGTAAAGGCGTCTTGGAGGTGATCTTTTAATGGCTCACAGCATCTTCAACACTTCTGGACATCCCCTGAAACACCAACTTGGGTTTAACTCCAACACAAACCTAAGGGGTAACACCCAGAAACTGGAGACACAACACAGCAGAACGGATTGTAGACACATTTTATACTCCTTAAGAGTTGTTTAATGCTGGAATTCGCTGCCGGATCAGCTAGTCTAAGAGAGTTCCCAGGAGTCCTTTAAGAGGAAACGTGGCCTATTCCTAAGCAATAGGGATAATATCTTACTATGAGTTACCAATTACTTTTTCCTCTTTTATCGTTAATATACTTAGGTTCCTGCCTGGAGCTATTGGTGACCCACTGCTACTAGACAAGGAGGCCCGTTAAGCGAAAGCTTCTTTTGTTCCGTCTACAACCATTTGGACCATTTGAATCCACGACCTTCTGACCCATCTTACAACTATGGTGGTTGATTCAGAATTGACGCTACAACGTGTAATGGTTTGTGGTGTAGCATGTTGAACTATGTTTCTAGTCTTTATCCCAAAATTGTTGTAATCTTAGGTTTGTGTTATTGTTGATTGTTATTGTCCACTCTTATCATTAAATGTAAGTTTATTGTGTGTGCTCGTTAGATCATGGACTAACCGTTTCTTCTATTCTGTTTTCTTGCCCTTCTCATTCACGTTACTCTGCGTGTTTCTCTAGCACACAAAGTACCTTCTGGACAGGCGCGAACCGCTATCGCGAGATTTTCATTGATTATGATAACAACTTATAAGACATTTCATCCTTAAATTATTTTAAATATCTTGGTGATGATATGTATCATCATTGGATATTAATATTAATATCCAATGCACGCTCAATGCATTATCTGCATCTTAATCAGAATGTTGTCTGAAAAAGTAGAAGAAGCAATAAACTAGTGGCTAAATTGTATCAAGAGGTTGTTGCATTGTATATGAAGGAAAAGTCCTTTAGTATTTAGCTACAAGACAATTACTCTGTTCATTAAACCAAAGACCGTTGCGTTGTCCACTTTTCTGGAGTTTTTTTATTCACACTAAGCTAACTTAATGTAGATGAAAAACAACTGTTGAAAAGCATATTGAAATCACTATGAGAGTTTGGTGTGAATTCTGGACAGCATATAACAATTCGACACTTCCTCCACTTTTGGAAAATGGTTATATGTTCTCTCTTTTATGTCCTTCATGGAAACATTTCTCTAAAATGTTTATATCTTGGTACAAATTTATGCAGTATGTAGACTTTCTGGACTGTAACTTGTCGAAAATAAACATGGTTTTTCGTATATGGTTCCATTCACTCTAGTTTCTCCTAAACTAAAACTCAAGTGTCCTCACCTTTTTGCCACTTCGTTTACACTTTCCCATCTAGTTTCGAAAAATATTGGTTGGCTTATATTAGTGTTGGTAATGTTAAGGTAGCTGCATTTTATTGATTTCGTGTTATTGAGGTCACTTTTTCTGTGATTTTCCTTCTAAGTTGCACCTCATACGGATCGTCTTCCCCGAGATGACTTACTCCTACCAAATACAAGTACGTCGTTTATTCAGGAGAGTTCTCACCTTTTCTAAATCCTATTCAGAGAGAATTATGGGTAATTTGTCTTTCTTTTTGTCTATTAAAAGTAACTCGGTCATTTCACGTCTGATTTTGATTTCTAATTATATGTGCGTAGTTTACTAGTTTTATTCGTGTACGATAAAACAATCGACCGCTTACATGCATTTATCTACAAGCGTACTATAGTATCTAAAAATCAACGTCAGATCAGTCAGTCAGTCAGTAACAACGTAGAACTTCGTACGTACGTACATCAGTTCGAGTTGCCACACCACATTAGCACAGAGATGCAGTTGTCGATTCAAATCCCATAGTGGTAGAGGTAATAAGAGTATAAGCAGTAGTCGGGAAGATTAGGGTTTGGAGATGTTATTTAAAGAGTATAATCCAGTGAAATAAATTTGGAAAGAGGAAAAAAAGGACATGAAGAATTCAGAAGATTAGAATTTGAGAGAACACAGAGAGTGGATGCACCTGCGCCATTGCAAACGATTTTGAGCCATGTCATTCAGGGTCTCTAACCATCGGTTGCTATCATCTCGCGGTCCCCAACCAGGTAGTCTACACCTACCAACATGACTCAGTCCACTTGTCAGTGACTTCATGGACTTGTGCCATGTTTTGGTTTGGCCGCCCCTAGCTTTCTTCCAACCTACTCCTATACCACTGAACATAGCACGTCGAGGCAGTCGGTCGTTGAGCATACGTAACACGTGTCCCAGCCATCTCAACTGATGAAGTTTCACTACTTCATCAATTGATTTGCCATCCTTACCTAGTACCCGTTTCCTAACAACTGTGTTACTTACTCGATGGTCCCATGGTATACGAGCAATGTTTCGAAGACACCTATGATCAAATACTAGTAGCCTACGGATATCCTCTACTCTTACCGGCCATGTTTCACTGCCATAAAGTAGGACGGAACGAACTGCTGCGCAGTAAACACGTCCTTTGGTTGATAGACGGATATCTCGCCTACGCCATAAATGACGCGAGTCGGCAAAAGCTAGTCGAGTCTTCTGTATCCGTGCTGAGATTTCGTCACACACCAAACCACAAGGGCTGATGAGACTTCCAAGATAAGTGAAGCGATCGACACACTCAACTACTTCACTCCCTATCACTAGTTCGGGTGTCAATGCCATCCAATCCTGAAGCAACATTTTGCATTTCGAGGGAGAGAATCGCATCCCGAACATGCTTGCATTGTTGCTTAGAGTGGTCAGAAGACTCTGCATTTTGTCAGCGTCTTCACCAAATAAAACTATGTCATCTGCATATTCTAAGTCAACAAGTGAACCTCCCGGTAGAAGTTCAACCCCTGGAAATTTAGATGAGGAGAGTGTTATCTCTAAAAGTACGTCGACCACAAAGTTGAACAAGAATGGGGAGAGTGGACAGCCCTGACGAACACCACTTGAGGTAATCAATTCTGATGACAGTTCGCCATAAGCTCTCACTCTACCAGTTGTGTTCGAGTAGAGAGCCTTTATAAGGTTAATGTACTTCTTTGGTACTCCTTTCAGTGACAAACACTGCTATAGAACATCGATGGCGCGAGATTCTAAAGTTTTAGCTAAGGAAGCCTGCTGTCCTATTTGGCAAAGTGTTCGTACGTTAAGAGCTCCTACGTGTAGTTTAGAGCGTAGTTTCAGGAGACCAGGAATGGCGTTCCACGTACTCGAATCGTTTGCCCTAGCGGTGCGAGGTGATAAAGAGACGTGGGGAGGGTTAGTCGGGGAGATAAGAGAGGTATTAGAAGGTGTAGGAAAGATTTGAATGTGACTACCTTGGTCTGTTGTGCTGTTACGGGTATGAGGGCTGATATCACTTCCCGGCTGCCCACACCGTGGAAGGGTATTTCTTGAGGAACCTGAAAAGGAAATTGGATTAGTGTTGGTCTTGACGACCTGGGAGCGTGACCGCAGAGCCCGAGGGACAACTGCTTGAGGCCGGTCGCGCACGGCCTTTTTGTGGAAGGTTTTTGACGTGTTAGCTCCGTTCTTCAAAGGGCCTTACCGCCGGAGACGGAAATCCGTGAGGTAAGGTGAGGTGTGACATTTTTAGGGTCGACCTTTTCTAACCCCACCCCTCCTTGTGGGAAGGCAGCATCGCTGTAATACTGGATGTCCGAGGGAAACACCTTACTGCTGTCACACCCCTCTACAGTCGGCAGTACGACTTCGCCCTCAGACCTTGAGTTGCTGCTTTTAGTCTTACCGTTCACCAATCGACCTGCCTGGCATGATAGAACCTGCAGGAACATATGTTCCAGCCAATATAGCTCGGTTGGGTCATCACGATAGGCAAGCCCGACCACCGCGTCAAGGTAGCAGCTTCGATCGGGTAACGTCAGATCGATTTAGAAACTTTATTATTTGTCAGTTTTCTGATAGTTAAACGACAGTTCAACTGTTATTTGGTTGATTATGTTCCATTTGCTTCAGAAGGTAGGCGTATATTTGGATGTTTCACCTCAACATAACTCTAAACGTAATGTCATGATAACATACTTGGGAAGTTTATCATGCTTAATCAATTCTTCAAAGACACCAAATGACCGTAATTATCATTTATATTCGTGTTGTTAATTTGAACCTAATACTTTGTGGTTGTCGGCAATACCCAAAATAGTCTTCCAGTATGCACAAGAGAATTTCATTGAGAGTCAATGTGTCAGAGATGATCTGAAATTATCCAAGGTTGTCAGCGTTAATTGTCTTTTGGTTATTTATAGAAATTTAGTTTTAACGGAATTTCAAACCACCAAAAAGTCAAATATTCGACACCTCACATATAAAAAAACTTTGCAACGACGTTACTGCTTCTCAGGTTGAAGTATGCTAACCTAACGTTTACTGTAGAAAGGCTTACAATATATTAAGACTTGCAAATTTATATTCAAATCTGTAGTGTCTATGTATATTCTCAGTTTACGTGTTTGATGGCTCTTGCTTTCATTTGCTTTCAGATCCTAGAAACCTAATACTTAGAATTGATATCTACATTAACCAGAGCAGTACAAGATTTTCGGATTTAAATGACTTTTGAAAAACTTGGTGTATGTCCTGAAATTGTTGAGTTGCTACGAGATAAAGGGATTAATACACCTACGGAAGTTCAAGAAGGCTGCATTCCAATAATTTTGGAAGGTTTTTTCTGTAGCTTCTTAATGCCGTTTTAGGAAACGATGTAGTGGCATGTGCAAAAACTGGTTCTGGAAAAACAGCAGCATTTTTGATCCCTATACTTCAGTCACTAATGACGGAACTCAAACCATTATATGCTCTAATAATTACTCCAACAAGGTACTGGTTATCCAGAATTTTTGTATATATTTTTTTGTCATAATGGTTTTTTTGGATTTAGCTAACACCTTTTTTCGAGTGATGCATGAGTATCTTGACTAGTCAGCAGAGCTTTCCATTTTAGACAAACTTTAGTTTGTTAAGTTGGTGAATTTTTCTTAGCTAAAATGAAATGTTCCATAATAGTTTCTTCTAAATGAAACCAATTGACTGGTAACTTTGATATATGGCTGAAAAAATATAAGATTGTGAGTGTGGGATTTAAGATAAATGATTCCGAAATTCATCATCAGATGATGCACTCATGATACCACGTCTTTTAATTGATTTGACCAGTATTTTCCATCATATTATGCCTTAAGTGATCCATGGATCAACGTTTTTTTCATTAGAGCATTTTAAAATATCGCAAATTCGCCTTACAGGGATAATTGTCCACAGTTAACAGGACCTTATCATCACACCTCATTAGCACAAGGAGGTGAACACCAAATTTATAAAAGTACTTCAATGGTAGTAATATATAAAAGGTTGCATATAGATATAATACAGGAAGAAAGAATTAGTTGTTAGAAAGAAGGGTACAAAGCAATTTTAATCCCACGATGTAAGGGAAGGCAGAGAGTGTATACACCTACACCATTGTGATTGATTCTGAACCATGCCACCCAGAGTCTTCAACCATTGATTACGATAAATCGTGCTGACCCTAACCAAGCAGTCTGTATCTGCCAACACGGCTCAGACCAGAAGCTAGTGACTTCATTCTAAGATTCATCCATTCAAAACTACTGTCATTATTTTAAATGTGCCTGCAAACAACGAGTGGGATATCTCTGAAGTTATCACGGAAATTGCAATTCTTATACTACTTAGCTTCGAAGGAAGTATTCTTGAGTTGACATTCAAGTCACAATTTTTGTGAAGGATGATGCTACTACCCAGGTGCCCCGGAATGCCCTACTACAGCCGAGGGTAGGGAGAGTCCACTCTCCCTCTCAAAATGCTCTCACATGGCTACGTGTACACCAATTGCCAGAGAAGTCCTACTCACCGCCTTCTCGCGGCAGTGTTGTTTACGAAATTAAGAGTACTAAAAGCGAATGTCCGACATTCCAACCCGGCCGGTGAATATGGAGGATCCACCTAGCGGAGTTGAAAAACCGTGGTTCAAAACCAATGGTGCACATGAGCTTTATGATATTTAGGGGACAAATGACGTATGAAACTATTGTTGGTCACCGTATACCCTCGAGCTGCATATCCTAACGTTACTCCACTGCCTTGTGGATTAAACCTCTACACCAGAGGCTCGGGGTGTGGCTACCTAAGAAAACCACCTGTTTCAGATTGGGTACCCGAGCAGTATTCCGGCCCTCACACAAATCGAATGATTTATGTGGCACATATGCATTTGGTCCCTCCTTGGACCAATTTTTATGTGTGTAAATAATGATAATACCCAAATGCCCAAATGAAGGTATTTAAGGTGAATTTCGGACCGAAGATCCAATGGTAGAAAGTCAAGTGCTTTCTCCTTCAAGGTTTGAATTGGTGGTGCTCACTTTAACAGTTCGGGTGTACATGAATAAAATTTGTCTTAACATACTATTATGGCTAGTGTTGTAAAACGATCCCATCCATAGAACTATGATATATAATCAAACACACGTCGATGGATCTAGGTTTTTTAAAGTTATTTCTTACTGTATCTAGCAATTTTACAAAGATAACCATGATCAATAAATATAATCTATAAAGTGCAACAGGCTATGGGCGTATTTTTGTAAAATGTTTTTCAAGGCGTTATTACAATGTACGGGCTTTAATGGTTATTAAATTGTAAAATAAGGTTATTTGTTGACGAGTACTGAGTTTCATTTTTTTCCGATTGGCAGGAAAAGGCTTATAACCATATATATCAGTTGAACAAGCTGCAAAGTTTTGTTTTATCTCACTAACCATTCCTAGATCTGACTGACTTATGTAACGTATCCATGTTTTTGTTGTTTTAGGGAGTTGGCGCATCAAATTGGTGAACAAGCCGCTGGGTTAAATTTAATCCAAGGTGAACCACTATGTAACGTATTGGTGATAACTGGTGGAAGAAACATAGTTCATCAGAGTATTGACTTAGCTCGATCTCCACATATTATCGTTTCTACTCCTGGACGGTTGGCTGATCTTTTGCGCACCCAGATAGCCGCACAAGAAGCTGATACTGAGAATAAGCCAGAATGGACCTTATCCAGAACAAAAGTGGTGGTTCTAGACGAAGCAGATAGACTGTTGGAAGATAATTTTGGTGAAGATTTGAACACTATATTGAAAGCACTTCCGAAACGTCGTCAAACGTTACTTTTTAGCGCTACATTCAGTGGCGCAGTCAAGTCTTCCTTAGAGGCTGCAAAGTCAGTAGCCTACGCTGAAAACAGGCGCCCTCCTATTTTATGGCAACCTGAATGCATGACTACGTGTTCATCTACAGGGGCCGTAACTGTCGAGACCTTAAGTCAGTATTATATTCTGATGCGCCCTGAACACAAAGAAGCATTTTTGGTTCATACTGTCGATCAATTTCTTTCTGAGAATCCACATTCACTTATTATGATTTTTACAAATAAATGTAAATGGTGCCATCTTATTGGATTAATGATGACTAGTCTAGGTATTAAAACAACCTTACTTCACTCCTCTATGACTCAGAAAAACCGCATATCTTCGTTGACTCTTTTTCGTTCTAGTCAGATTCGTGTTCTGATTGCAACAGACCTGGCAAGCCGTGGACTTGATTTTCCAACAGTTGATATTGTAATTAATCATAATGTTCCTATTCGACCTAAAGATTATGTTCACCGAGTAGGCCGGACTGCTCGGGCTGGGAAAGCTGGTTTAGCATTGACATTGTGTGACCTTTTTGAAGTAAAACGTTTAAAAGCTATCCAAACATTTATCAGTAAGTCACACTTTAAACTGATTGTCCTAAAATAATCTCCGTAAAATTTTTCTCTCCAAAAAACAATATTCGTATATTATGCTTGTAATAATTTCCCAATATCATTTATTGACTTTGGTGCGATTCTGATCACAAAATATGTCCTAACTTGCTGTTTAGTAACACCAGTTAACAGCCGGCGTTATAAAAAAAACAAATCAGTTATGTAGAAACATGCCAGGAAATCCCCGATCTTACTTTTTAAAGTGTGATTAGTAGTTAAATATTTACCATTATAAACGAGGAGATTAAATTTAGAACAATTAAAAAAGTATGAAAAAAATCACGCGAAGTCAACGCATACAAATACGAAATGACAAACGTCAATAACTGATTTCCCATTCCCAATGTTAAACTAAAGTAAATTGGTGATAGGCTCTACGTTATGACTGACTCAGTAAATAATAATCGCATTACCAAACCACTTAGCTGTATAAGAAATAAACGTATATATATATGATCAGCACATGGTTGCATTGTTGTTGATTGTCAACTTCACTCTTAACCGTTCTTTAGCTTGTAAAAACAAGCATTACTGCCTGTCTTTACACTAATGTAGTTATCGAGCTCAACACACTTCAGTAGAAATTATATGGGTATATTGAGCATGAAAATCCTATCTCCAGCTCCGATTAATTTTATTTAATGACTCCCTTTTAATCGATTTCACATTTCTTATGTAAATGCAGTTGTTATACAATAAGTGAGACTGCTTACATTATGACCATTCTGGCAAATAATTCATTGAATAGCCTCAATATTATGTACAGAACTAATGAAACATTTCAATTCGATGGATATAAATTGGTAATAGTAGCTGTTGCATCTCGTTATTCCCCAATACATTTCTCAAATAACTACCAAGATCCACTTAATCTGAAGGTATAAAAGGGAAAAATTCACTGTAAATTATCATCATACATCAATAAATCTGTTTGCGTAAGAATGGGATTCGCTGTATTTCTTTTAATTTTAATTCTGTGTTGTTACAGGTGCTTAACCCCAAGTATCTCATTGATCATATTTTATGTAGATAAGGAATTGAAGACATTTGATGTGAACGAAAAAAAAGTAGCTCAAATAATTGCCGAAGTGTCTATCGCTCGTCGTGATGCAGAACGCGTAATTATTATCACCTTTATTTACATTGAAATACATTTTCTAGAAACTAGATGAAATCAGATTTGATGAGAAGCGTGAAATCAATAAGGCAAAAAATGTGAGTTATCACTTTTCGTTTGTAATAGATCTTTTTTTCTAGCTGATGAAGGCCAGAACGTCGAAAACTCTAAATAAAACTGAGAATCTTACTTCCTAAACTTTCTTGTAAATAAATCCTTTATTTTTATCTGATAGTTTTGTCTGCTGATTAAAATTCCCAATGGTCAGGTAATGCCTGCAATTTCTGGGGGTCATAGAATAGGAAATACATAACAGTTAATAAACTGAAATAGTTCTGGCAAATTATAGTGAAAAATGTTTCCTGACATTCTAACTAAATCTTATACAAATATCTGCAAATTAATTGGTGGAAAGAAACTTTATATTAAACCGTATATTTTTTTTACTAGTTTAACAGTGGTTCGGTAATTAAGGCATCAAATTTTCAGCCATTAATTTCCAAATTTGAACTTCGATCTCTCTGCTTCAGTTTAAGCAACCGGCTGGTGTCAGTGGCCCTCACACTCAAAGCCATATATACTAAAATGTACTTGGCAAATGAGTTAAATCAATAACAATATATCTTTACCAACGAACTTGACAGCACATTCATGTAAAATTTGTTACAGCTATTTACAACCAAAGAAATGGTCGTCAGGATGAAAGGGGAATAACTAAACTAAGATAATCAACTGCATCTACCTCTTAGTTACTGTATATGTCCTCTGTTATTACGAGTAGCACATTTATTTCGCCTTTCCGCAGATAGTTTGAATGACAATTCATGACTGTTACAACGGCTTTTAGTACGAGCGACTTTTTATTTTGATAGATTTACAACCAGTTATGGTGTAGTTAAAATGTGTAAATAGATAATTGCGTGTATTTTGATTCTTTAAATGCCCTACATTCAACACACCGAACTTAAGGATCCGGATCGGGAGTACATATCTTACTTTTAAACTCCACTTACACTATAGTAATGATAAAACACAAAATCCTCACTAAGTATGATCTATAGATTCCTATGTTCAGACGACCACTGCTTTAAATGTCAGATACTTGGAAGAAACTGTAACTACCGAATGTCTTTAAGACTCCTTTGTAATTTGTTTCCAATGCAAACCAAGGGGTAATCATACGTAAAAGTCGAGGATGGGGATCTGGTTACGTCAATTATGAGCCTTGAGTAACAGTAGTGTGGATAGACTACAGTTGAATCGCATATAAAAATCCAAATGCGTACCATCAAAGTAAAATACTTCGCATTAAGAATCAACAGGCGAAGAAAGTCAACGATGATGCCTCGTAAAAAGTACTCTGTCTACACTACCCATTCTGTTGAAGTCCATTTAACTTGTTAACGATGTGCATAATAATAAACTCAGTTACTTCCATATCTCTGTTCCATCATACGTGGTATTTTATGACAATATTCTCCACAACATTAAACGATATTTCTCGTGACAGAAATCACTAGACATTAACTGCGCACGTACAAGAAAATGTAATATATTGCAAATGTGCTTTTATATAACGTAATTAAGATAACTAGTGTACATTAGTTTACAGTTTATTTCTATTTATAAATGAAGTAGTACCATTAATTAACAAAGAAAAAGATATTTAAAAATGCTGAAATTGTAGAGCAACTAAGTATATATATATAATCTTTAAAGCATAGCATAATTCCTTTTAAGCTCATGAAATAATTAAGAAGACATGTACACAATGACATCAGGAAACGATTAACCTGATTAAATAAAAAAAAGACCAGCAAAAGTAAGCAATAACAATATTAACTATTAAGATAGATATGCATAAAAAGAATATATGGATACACAAAAGAATCATTATGAAAGAAAACTACAGAGAATTTAAGTATACACTCCAAATAAACTATACAACAGTCATTTTTAAGTGGAATGATAGTGTTTGCACAACATTCCCAGGGACAAAATACAACTCACTTCAAATAATGTTTTTTAAGCTATTGTACAGTGTATTTGAAATAATCATAACTCGGTTGCTGCAGAGGGTTTTGTTGCATACAGTTATTCGTTTCATTATTGGTTTGTAATATGTGAGGCTGAGTGTATACAAAATCGCTGGCGGATAAATCATCTTGCGTGTGGTTATTTGCAACGGGTTGATGATAAATATCCGACGGTATAGAGGAAGACTCCGAAGTGGATATGGAACTGGAAGGTAGTGTAGGATCGTACCATCCATGAAAAGCAGAAGTAGGATGATCAGTAATTGGTTGTCGATATGTCCTGGAATCTGAGGCAATATCAATACTTGGTAAGTATGTTTCATGATTACCAAATGGCCGGTTCATATTGAGATATGACATGGTATGTGGTGACATATTTTCTGTAATATCACAACCACAATCACCTACTGAATCTGACGGCATAAAGCAGATAGCTGATGGGCGTGTTAATCCACTTTCAGATGTTTGAACTATGCAGTCACCTGTGTTCAGGTTAGACGCTTGAAAAGCACAGTTAACATCAAGAGAGTTGTTGCGTTTGTGATCTGTAAATATAAATTTGAAAGTTTCTCGTCAAGCACAAAGATATGTAGGCAATAAATAAATACTTAACGATAAGAATGTAGATTTTAGTAACAACTTATAAGTATTTTCTTACTTCAGTGTGTTGAACAAGATGTGAGTGAAACTAGTAGACACTTAATAATGATTGCAACGATATTTAGCAGGACAGTTTCCTAAATACTGATAAGATAAAGTGGGACAACAGCAACAATATGAGCCATGAATTATCCATGTTAAACATGGAAATCATATTTAGCTACATATCTAAAGTTAATTGAGAAAAACAACAGTAGCTTATTAAGGCGGTGCTTTGTTCTACAACTTTCTGTGCAAGTATAATTATTAGTAATACTTTTTATATTGGTATACAACATAGCCTATAGTTTTGTGTTGCATTAGTCTACGTGATACTTCTGCAGTCGTCACAAGAGAACAAATGCCTTGGCAATAAAAGTAAATCAATGTCTCGGAAAAGTATCTAGAAGTTGAGAACTAAATACAACCAGTAAGAAGTCAAAGGTATTCTTTAATCGACAGCAAGTAAAGCTTCCTTAAACTATCTGATTACTTTCTAGAATAAGTGATATATCCTGGTAAATTTATCACACTTTAATCAAAGAATATAATCACGATCCAGTTTTGTTCTGTTAGTCATTTCACATTACCGCACATTTGACGAGTCTTATTCAACTGGGAGTTTATATGAAAAATGAGAACAAAAGCCAGTTCTGATTGATTTTATATCACGTTGATAAAGAGTTCCGAAATGATTATGAGAATAGATTTCAGTGCTATGAGGTAAGGACCGAGAGAAAATGAATAAAAAGTCACAAGTTATCATGAAATATTTATTCTCCTGTATTATGGATTTACTTTCAGTTAAAAGCTTAACACTAGACATTAGAGAACACTCTTATTTTTGTGCATTTGTATAACAAAATAAACTTTAAAGTAATTAAAAAAAACTTGGATTGTTGCTAAGGGTATATACTAAATTAAATTTCGAGTAATGCTCACTTGGATATAATAACAGTATAATTAACGTGAAACTTACCAAAATTATTTAGCGCCTGAACATCACTTGTCGGAAAATCTGTACCGTTTCGTAGTGTACCGTAATTGTTTGGCATAGATGACAAATAGTCACCAGATGCTGGATCTGTATGGTGTTGAATATTAGCGTGTTCTTGATTTGATTGCGGTATTAATTGTGTGGTAGAGCATGACAAACTATGTAATGAGTTAGGTTCGTTCAAGGATGAATCTACCTGGCCGGAAAATGGATATGATTGATGATCAATATTCGAGGATAGATTCATCTCAGTAGTACTTGGTTGTATTGCGAATCCTGGGTCAAAGTGATTTGTATTTTCATTTGTATGTCTCCAGTAAGTAGACAAATGTGATTCTTTTGCTTGGTTAACTGAATGAATATAAGTCGAAGATTTAGGGTTCGGTTGAATTGGTGTATTAATATGATCACGTACTATCGAACAATTAGCGTGAGTAACATGGGATGTCCTCTCAAAGAAATCTGCCTTAGTTTGACCGTAACTGTTGTTTTCCGTATAGGTACTATTTGGATTTGAACCTGAAGTCTCACTTTCGAAAGCTCTGAAATGGAATAAAGTTAATTGAATATATGCACGAAAATAAGTAGATATTCGTAGGATCCTAGTTGGTAAAACAAGGAATGAAATGTAATAATAAAGTGAATTTTTTCATGATATACCATACAATCTACTGAGTCTTACATTTAACTAAGAACATACTTACTTCATAGAACTTGTCGTACAAATAACATATTCTACCTCCTCACTGTAGGGATTCACAAACGCTGTTAAATGACACTTAACGAACAGCAATTCAGTAAATAATTTGGAACGCATATGTACCATGATTGTGAATGACTGGCCTTTGAGCTTCCAGGCTAATTGAAAGGACAAAAACGTTATATTTTTATTTAATTCATAATAAGAATTATGACAAAGAGTAATAATATTCCTAATGCAAATGTGACATGGTTTGAAGTAACCGTGAATACTCTGACGACATTTAAAGTCAGAACACAACAGCTTCCTTCTCCAAAACACGTAATACAAGGAAGATTTATATGATAGAGACCATAAAAAATTAAATTTGAATACACTGAATTGTCATTCGACTACAGTGATTATAAATTATATAATAGTCATCAAACAGAATAATCGTCATTTAAACACAAAATGACGGAGAAATAATACAATTGAATGGTATGCTAAGTAAAATCGAAGTGAATGAAAAAATTAAGATGGATTAACTGATATAAATTAATGTTGTACTGCGCAAAAATCAGACTGAATTAATAAGTGAAATGAACAGAAATTACAAAGAATCCATACAAAATCCAACTAAATGAAAATCACATCAAAGTCCATACACAATCTGTATTAGTTGTTTGAATCTTCCGATTGCTGTTTAGGATTGCAATTGACCAGTCACTTTCCAGGTATATCCAGCAGATGAGTTCCAAGTAGGATGAGACACGAGTCCTGGATCCCACTGATGGTCACTATTGATCCATGCTTATCAACACATAATCTCTTACTTAATTTCTTCCTGCTAAAATATATTTAGGGATGCAACATCCCTAAT